GTTCAGAGAATCGTTCGGCAAAAACGAAAACGGATTTGAGCTCAGCGTCGCAAGACGCGTGCATCGGACTACACCTCATTACAAATGGCCGGACCGACCAAATGACCATTCCTCGTTAGAACAGCGGACTGAGCAAATTACCATTCCTTGCGCGCGATGAAACTCCATAAGACCCCATTAGAACTTAAGTGTTGAGCTGTTCAGAGAACAGTGCTTTCTTGAAATAATCATACCCCTCTTGAGAAGTTAATAGCATCTTCTGTCAACAAGCTCTGGGGGGTTTATTCTCATTCAAGAAGTAGAATAGTTAGTTAAGCTCTCCATGGATTTTCGCCTACCCACATTCTGAAGTTTAGTTTTTTTGCTTCTGCAGAGAGGTTTTCTCGGTGGGAATTTAATAATGGCGGCCTGAAAAGTTGGTTTTAAAGGCTTTGCTAACCATTCATTAACGTAGAAAAGGCGCTGTTCGCCTTCTGCGATGGTAGAACTGAGCCTTTTGCAGAAGCCAGCATCGTATCGGAAATTCCGCTTGTAGGAAGGCCGTGAAGTTGCCGGCACAATAGCCCATTGAAGGAATTCCCGATAAGAGCGAAGGTCAAGGAAAGGCAAATTTACAATTGGGAGACAGGCGGTCCCCTGCGAGAGCTGGTCGAAAACGCCTTGCAGCGTAAGGCCGATGTCAGACTTTGCGAATCGCGCGATTCGCTAGCGTCTGCGGTCGCGTCGCGGCCAGTGAATCACTCAATTGGCTGGTACCGTACCGCGACGCGACCGCTAGCGCTAGCGCGAATCGCTAGTAGCGAATCGCGCGATTCGCAAAGTCTGACATCGGCCAAAAATTTGACCTCGCGATCTAGCATGGCTCACTCTTGGCGCGGTTGGCGGGGTACGCCCACCGACTATCTAATCACTCGCCGCAGGTCTATACGTGGCGAGTGATTAGATAGCAGAGAGAGCGTAGTGTTGAAGAGGCACAGCGATGAGAGTCGCATCAATGCGCAAAAGGGAGGTTCCGTTTTTCGGGTTTCGGGCCATTTTAAGTGGTTTCTCCTTCATAATTGCTCCACTGACCACCTCTGCCTTCATTTCCATGAAGCTAACTTTTCATAGCAAATTCTGCCTTCAAATCTGTTACATATATAAAACTCGTCGGCAAAGAAAAACATCGAACATAATAAGGTTTTTCCGAAGGCCGACGTTTTTCGAAACGACAAGATGAAGCCTCCATAGCAAAACTCTGCCATGCAATCAGTACTGTTTATCGCTAACGATGGTCATCTGTTTGACGGTGAGAGCGATGATTAAAGCAAATTTCCAAGGCAACCACACAATTAGCGACAAAGTAGCTAGCATTTGCATATTTGCAGAAAAAAGTAAATGGGCGGGTAGGGAGTAC